AATTTTAAAAAATGAAAATAGAAACCAAACAAGTCATTAGCTTCAGTCTTTTATCTTGTTTTCTTTTGTTTAGCTTCTTTTCTCAATAGCCATTTCACTATGCATGCAATTTTGTCAAACCACGTCAGTGAATGTATTGAATTTGTCAGGAGTTAATTAAACAAGTATTTTAGAGATGTAAACGTAACATCATGTTAATTAAACACTTGGTTATCTACATTGGATCAATTTTTACTTTCATTTTACCTTGTTATTTTTGCATTAATTCAGCTTCAAACCAAAATCAGATTATTCATACTGTAAACATGTTATCTTTAATTGTTATTAATTATTATAATTTATAAATCAAATTTACAATTGAGTTTTAATTTTGTTAGGATATTGTTATCAATGTAATTTTTGAAATATTGTTTCTTTTAAATTGCGTATAATTACCACTCCAAGTCTCTGACGCAAAAAGTGGATTATTAGATTGAGTGTTGTAATTTTTGAAAAAGACATACTATTTTTTCCATATGCAATATATAAAATTTTTAAAATAATAATTAAAAGCTGCACTATTTACATGTATTTTTGAAGTCAATTGTGCAATTTTTCTTTGGGTAAATTGAGATGATATTTTCAAAATAAAATATATATAAGCTGTTTCATGGAAATGGATTGTGATTTTAAGGTCTGCTCACAAATCAAATACCCCATGACAAAGGGGTGGTTGATATGTACATCCAATCAATTAACTGTGAAGACTTGTTTACGTTTTTTTCTATCTCACTATTAATTTTATTTCAGGATGCTCTCCATGGCCTGCCAGCTAGACTGAGCATTCTTATCTTCTTTTCCTTATAATAGATATTAAAATAACAGATTGATTATGTATATGTAGTAAATATGTTATATAATATTAATATTATGAAACTATTGCAAGTGAACCAGTTATTTAAATATTTAGTATTGCACATTTACTACATAATTAGCTACAAGTTTAAAATTATGCATATCACTAATTTAAGTAACCATGTGAAATGATGAGAACGAGGGAGAACACACAACCATATTTTCACGGTGGTTTGATTTGTAGTAAATCATAACCAAGAATTTTATTGATAGTAGAATTTCTACATTCATAATGAAGAAATCAATAACTATCTTACCCAAAAAATAAAAAATAATAAAAAAGAAATTTCATAATTGAAGGGGCAATGTATCTATGCATGCGCGCTTCTTTTCAATAACCTTTTTATGGGGTTACTCTCTATACCTTATCGGACTGGACCATAAATGAAAATATGGTTCCAAAAGTGAAATTGTACAACACAGTGAAATTAAGGGAAGAAACTACTTCTCACAGAAGTAACTTTTGGAGTTATTTTATGGCCTATCATCCTTTTTTTTTTTTTTTGGGTCAATATGGCCTATCATACTTGACTTCAAAAAAGTTAATGAAGCCAAAATAAAATTGTGGTCCTTAATCAATGAGATAATGGGAAAAAAAGTATAAGACACACAATGTCCTTTTTTCTTTTCATTTTTTCTACACAACATGTTCATACCGTCAAATCAAAAAATGTATTGTGGAATATACGGCCACCTACTGAATTTCTATTTCGTACAGAGATTTTAATTAAGTGAGTGTTGCTTTTAAATTAAGATTATTATGCAATTTTCTGCTTTTAGATTCAACAAGTATGTTCATCTTTTCTTTTTTTTTTTTAAAAGAAAATATCAATTACGGCATCGCTCCCATAATTTGATGTTTATTGTAACATATGGTGCTTCATTTTTAACTTGTACACGCTCACACGCTTTGGTATATATCGTTCTTCTTTCTACAGTTCATTATCAACAAACAATTAATTTTTTTTGAAGAAAATTAGCTACTAGTTTTTTAAATGATTTCATACTTCACTAATTTTTTTATATTGATTATTTCATATTTTGTAATTAGGAAAATGAAGATAATCTCTAAAATTTCATTTAGCTTTACTTTAGTCTGAAATGATCCTTGCTCATGTAATTTTCAAATAGTTTGGAAATAGTTTTTTTAATTTTAATAACCTAAAACTATGTTATTTTGTGTTTTTTTTATCTTTTCGTTGTTTTTTTTAGTATTATATATATTTGATGATTTATCAGTCGCTCTGGTAAATTATGCAAAATTATACTGGAACTTAATTAGTTGGACAATTTATTTGGTGTACTTGATGATTTTGGTAATTTATAATAGACAATAAATAGTATTTATAGTATGAGATTCTGTTAGTTTAATTTACCATGTATGAAACTGATGTGAACAAATATTGCCAGACCAAGTATGGCATTATATGGTTAATATTGTTGAAGTTATTTTTCATATTTTTTATTTAAAATTTTTATTTTGATTGAGACTGGTCCGATCATAGTTGAGTGAACTGTAAACCGGTCTGACCAGTTCGATGTCTTGTCTCATTCAAAGGTTTCATTTATATGTGACTTTTTGGTCTTCTCAGTAATGTTCTTTTGGGGATAGATACTCTACGTAGCCCTTCAGATTTGACCGCAAATGAAATAACACGGTGAGGTAATGAAAATCGGGAGAATGAAGAGAGGTCTTAAAAGGACCAGTCAATTCAACTTAGGCATCAAGTGTTAATTCTCAAGAATTTGTAAGTTTGACTCTCAATTTTAAAACTTTATTGTGATAAATTTACACCTTGTGTTCCACATTTTAACTAGTAAAACAAATTTATTTATTTTTCCACCGTGTTAAAATTTGAAAAATAAGTTACAAATCATCACAATAAAGTTACAAAATTGAGAGCCAAACTTGCAAATTTCTAAAAGCTGACACTTAGGACTTCAATTACATTAATTGGTCTTTTTGGATTTCTCTGTCATTCTCCCATGAAAATCTGCTCTTCTATTTCATTTGGAAGAATGACATATAGCTCTCATGGGGACCAATTAATTCAAATGAAGTTCCAACCAATTTCAAAGCATGAAACTCTAGGAATTTACAAGCTCGGCTCTTAATTTTCTACTTCATTGTGATAAATTTGTAACTTATATTTCAATTTTTTACAATAAAAATGAATTTATTTATTATTCAATCACGTTAAAATTTAAAAAATAAGTTACAAATTCATTACAACTAAATTGCAAAATTAATAGCCGAACTTGTGAATCTCTAGAGTTTGGCCGTTTAAAATTGATTGGGTTTTAATTTAAATTAATTGATCCCTTAGAACCTACATGTTACTCTCTCCTTTCATTTCGCAACTTCTTTTACAGGACAACTTATACTTTTTCATAGTTATTTGTGTTCTTATTAAATGTTTTTTTATGGGTCAGACCATGTTCCCATGATGAGTTAAATCTAGGAAAATATAATGCAATTTTTTACGTTGGTTGTGATATTTTTCTTTGAGTAATTAACGATTTAATTTTCTCTAAATGCTAATAATAAATATTCATTTAAAGTAATAAATATCTATATTAACACTTTTATTATTTTATGTTTGATTTTCAACGCCATAATGACGATGCACTCCCTCCCTCACTCACCGTTGGATTATGAATTATCTGTATGATCACACTTGATTTCTTTTCTTTTATTTTCTTTGGTTTTTGTTTCTTTTTTTCACCATAGCCATTTTACTACGTACGCAACTGTCAGACCACATAAGTGAATGGATTGAATTTTTCAGGGGTTAACTATAATAAATACAAGTGAAAGTGGCATACAGCACCTCCAACATGATTACCTCCGATGAAAAAGATACATGTTAGTGACGGGAAAAAAAAATACAAGTGAAAGTGAATTGGATTGTGCTGGTTTAAAAAAAGAAAAAGTGAATTGGATTGTTATCATGACCAATATTTGGCTTTGAACCAAAATTAGATTTCAAATGGTGAACACGTTATATTTAATGATGATTTATAATTAAAATTAATAAATACATCAATTATAAAAAAGCTAGAAATTTACAAATTGAGCTTTAATAAATCTGCTAAAATGATCTCTATACCGGCAATAAAATTGGAATTCACACCCTTATGAGTTATCCCTTATAGAGTATTGTGACTTTAAGGTCTACTCAAAATCCAAGAACTTTATGCACCTAGAAAATGGATGATTGATATAATACGTCCAATCAAAGTATGAAGACTTTGAAAAAGCCTAGCACATCATGTGCTGATACTTTCGAGAAAATTTTATCAAACCATGAAACTGAATGGATGTATCATCTTTTAAAAAAGAAAAGAGTTTAATAATTAAAATTAGTCATATGGACTTATTGTTGGCAATGAATTTTCTAATCTTTTCACGTTAATTAATTAATTTAAGATTTTTTTAGATTAACTTTTCTCTTTGACCATAATTATTTGATTTTATAGCCATTGCTTGAAATTTCATAATGTTACTAGTTTTAGACTTTTGGGTCATTACATTCGAGGTGATAAGGTTGATGTAATTAAGCTTGTACACCAGTGAGTGGTTTCACTAAATGATGATAATTAAGGTTATTGAGTAAAAGTCAGTATTGAACAAAGTATATGAACAAATCTCCCACAGATCATACAGTATTCATTATTTCATTGGTTGTTGTATATACTTGCGCTGGCCTTTTTGTTTGAGGAGGAAAAGATACACTTTAATTTACCTTTGCATGTGTTATTTCCAAAAACAAACTCATCCCCGCTGAAATAGCAGGGCCAATTACATATTCATCAATTGAAGACTCTTGATAGCTGTGATATCCATGAGGTAAAATTAAATGAGCGAAGGTTAAAAAAATACCTTGAAATTTAAAATAGAAATCAGATATTATTTGTCAAATACACTAATTATAATTAATATTTTAGTTGAATTTACTAATCTTATCATGAGAGATGTTCTTTTAATTTTCCATTTGTTGTTGTGTTTGCATGCCTTGACTTGCTTTGGAATTGGAGAAGTATAAAATGATGTGTGTTTTCCTAGATACACATATTGCAATATTGACAAGTCTGATATGCTAAACATGGAAAAATCTCTTTCCTTTGTTTTCCTGATCTTCTCATTCCACTGCTTCATATCCTCCTTAGCTTGGATTGATACAAACATCACTACTGATAAATCTGCACTTCTTGGCCTTAAATCTTTTATTACTTCATATCCATATGGTTCCTTATCTACTTGGTCTCTCTCCTCTTCTCCATGCAATTGGGTTGGTGTTACTTGCAATACTTATGGAAGGGTTCATTCCTTGAATCTTGGTGGCATGGATCTTATAGGCACCATATCTCCACAATTGGGAAATCTCTCATTTCTTGTTGAACTTGATCTTAGTAGCAACAACTTTGATGGTCAAATACCAAGAGAGTTAGTTCAACTGTGTAGATTGAAACTATTGAACTTGAGCTACAATGACTTTCATGGACAAGTTCCAACATTGATAGGATATTTATCTACATTGGAGCACTTAAATCTTCAAAATAATAGCTTTGATGGATTTATTCCGCTGTCTCTATTCAACCTATGAAGATTGGAGACATTAGATTGGAATTCTAATTTAATTGAAGGAACCATTCCCATTGAGGTAGGAAGACTTGAGCGCTTGAAAATTTTACAACTTTCAAGAAACAAACTTTCAGGAATCATTCCCCGAACAATTTTCAACTTATCTTCACTTGAGTTATTACATTTGTCTTATAACACTTTGTCAGGTATGTTTTGGATTATTTTTTTATACCTATATTGGTGTTTTCTCTAAATTGATCTATTTGGTTAGCATGATATATTTCCATAAGGTTCATGTGGAAGGATCTAGGTTGTCTCGACTATTTTGCATTCTGTTTTTTTTTTTTGGGTATTTTCATGCATTTTTTATCAGCTTTCATTTTTAAAAATTTTTTATCAATATTTTCCAATAAATCACGTATCTACATGAAACTGAAGCAATAGGATTTTTTTTTTTCATGCATTCAAACAATAGCTAGCATGGGAATAATAGTCTATTCTATCATTGAAAACATTTTGAAGGATTTTTTTCTAAATGAGTAAAGCTTACAATATATGGACCTGGAGCATTCAATTGTAATTTGAGAAACTTACATATTTGTCCTGTGGAGTAGACTTATTTACAAATAAGTCTCATGAAATTTAGAAACTAAAACTAGGTCCCTCGGGACATGATTAATTTTATTTTTATTTCTTTTTTCTTAATAATATTTTAGTTCGATAATATTTTTGTTCTACAAATTAATTATTTTGAAATTAAAAAAATACTAAAATCTATAAAATATTTAAAGAATGTAGACCTCGCAAGGTTAGTTTGAATTGTTTAATTAAATTTGCCCTGACATTGTGATGCTATTTTAATCTTAATGATTTTGACCAATCTCCAATTCTTATATATCTTAATTTTCTGCTAGATTACTTTGAAGTTATAGTGATCAAATCATAATTCAAATTTTAATTAGTTATAGGTTAGATCATTTAACCCCAAGTGAATTATGAATAAAATGGAACATATATATGATACAAAGAAATATAATTTTGATGGATTTATTCCACTTTCTCTATTCAGTCTAGCAAGGTTGGAGACATTATGTTAAAATTCTAATTGATCTAATTGATGGAGTCATTTCAATTGAGGTCGGAAGACTTCAGCATTTGAAAATTTCACAACTTTCAAAAAACAAACTTTAAGGAATCATTTCTCAAATAATTTCTAGCTTATCTTCACTTGAGATGTTACATTTGTTTTATACCACCATGTATCACTACTACCAATAAAAAAAATTACAACAGCAACCATTTCAGAACACTTAAATGTAAAAATGCTTTGAAATATAGAGGTGGATCATATTGGAGTGTTTATAAAAAATAAGCCTACAATCAGTCTTCTAGAGTGCATCCAGACAAAAAGGTTCTGGAAGACCTTACACAAATAATAAGAAAACAAACAATCACCTTCTAGAGCGCTTCCAATAAGAACCGCTCTCAAAGACATAGAATAAGAGCATGGAAGCGCTTTAGAAGGATAAGTTAATTTTTATTTAATGTATTAAATAAATTAAATTCATAATATTAGATGTAATTTAATTAGTAATTATATTAATAAAAATAATTATTTTAAATTTAATTTTCTTGATAATTTTACTATCAATATAGTAATCATTTGATATAATATTAATCATCAAATTATCATTTGACATATCTAAGTTTTCGATTATTTTTATCAATACTTATGTTTTAGATTATTTTAATTTCTTTATTGCCTTGTTCAAAATTGATCTATTTGGTTTGCAGAGGAATATCATCCTGGAGGAATCTGGGAATGTCTCGATTTTTTTTATTGCTTTTTGGTATTTGTATCCATTTTTTCCCCAATAAATCAGATATCTACATGCAACTGAAGCAGAGAAAATATTTGTTCCTTTTACAGCAATGTATTCAAATAATTGCTAGCATGGGAATAAATAATATATTAGTCCTGATAACAAGTCTAAGGGGACGTCACCAATCCTTGAAGATAAGTCTATTCTATCATTTAAAACATCTTGAAGGGTTGTTATCCTAAAAAAAAAAAAATAGTAAAGCTTACTACAATGTATGGATCTAGAGCATTCAATTTAATTTGGATACTACCCAAATTATATTTTAATTTTATTATTTATTAACTAGATTGAAAAATGTTTAAACTGAAAACACGCATACTTTCGAATATTCTTCCATATAGTTCATATATATTGACATATTGTTCATTTTTTGATATTTGAAGGAGGCATTCCAAATGAGATTGGTAATATGCCACAACTACAGATAATATATCTTGGAGATAATCAACTTGTAGGTTCTATACCAATCTCATTATTTAACATATCTCTGCTACAACAAGTTGATCTGCAATAAATAATTTATCTGGGAGTCTCCCAATAAATGTCTGTTTTGGACTTCCAAAACTTGAAATATTTTATGTTGATGGAAATGATTTATCTGGCGAAATACCCTCCATTTGGCATCCATGCAAAGAATTAGCAAAGTTACAATTAGGTGATAACATGTTCAAACAAGGAATCATTCCAAATGATATTGCAAATTTGACAAACCTCCAATTCTTGAATCTTGACAATAGCAATTTGCAAGGTAAGAGTTTAAATTATATGACTGTTTTTAAAACCATGCGTACGATTTTATTTGTTTGTTTTAATCTATCAAATAAAAATAATTATTTTTATTTTAAAATATGTTTTTAATGTTTGTGATATGTGTGGGTGCGCGGTGTGTGTTTGTTTGTTTGTTCACATAATGGTGGGGTCACAATTTGAAAAATAATATCAAAATAAATCTTTTTATCAATTTGTGAAAAACATTCCGAATGCAATATAAGTAACTGCACATATTTAAAAGAATTGTCTTTAAAAAGATTTTATAATAAAGATGACCTTAATTTGATAGAAATGACTAATTAGGTTTCAATGTTTATATATATTACCTTTCATTTTTCTTTTTTTTCTGTTCATTATCTTTTTCATGGAAAGTTTTCTTATGTTTTTAACTCAGATAATCCATCTATATTTCTCAATGAATCACACATCAAAAACACACACAATACATGACAAAGTGACAACTAATTTATTCTATAATTATTAGTCTTTCCAATAATGGGTCGTGGTTTTTTTTTTTCCAAATTAATTGTTCTTTTATCTTATCATTTAGAGTATGTTAGCCTTATTTCTCAAAGGAAGTCTTAAAATGATGTGATAAAACATATGAATGTCTTATTTGTATATATATATAATCTCGTGACACTATCTCTACATAGGAAGAGTATCGTGGCAAAATAGTTTTGATGATATGCACAAATCTCTCACAAATATATATATATATATATATATGCTTATTCTATCTACTATAGTTCCATTGTATTCTTTGAACTCTTGGAAGATTTCATGTGGTCAATTATTAAAATTTCATAAAGCTTTCATGTTTAATTCTATTATTATATCTTATTTTTATTCCTTTTTTGACACCTATATTGTTGAGTACGTGTTAAAGAGCATTGTGAGAGCTTCTAACTAGCTATATGCTCACTTTAATGAAAAATATAACTAGCAAGAAACTTTTTGGGTTAATGCACCCCTTGCATAATTTTATGCTTTCAAGGAAATTTTGGGTATTATTTATATTGTCTCCAAAAGTTTCAATTGTAGATATTTTCATTCCATAAGTCCAAGATTTTTTTGTCTTAACTATCAAACAAATTAATATTTTGTATATTTTAGGTGAAATTCCTTCATTTCTTTGGAATATGCCTTCCTTGAGAGGGGTTTACCTTAGAATGAATCATTTAAATGGCAATTTACCAGAAGGAATGTGTCATCAATTCCCTTTGCTGGAATTCTTGGCTGTTCAAGATAATGATTTGGAGGGATATATTCCAAAATCAATAAGTAACTGCACATCTTTAAAAGGATTATATCTGTTCATCAACTCATTTACAGGTATGCACTTGGATCCTAATCTTTTTCTCCAGTAAAAAATCTAAAAAAAGATTCTTTTTTCATCGCCTCATTCACATTGTACATTCGTATATTGGTTTGATTTTTTTTTTGGTAAAAATATTGGTTTGATTTTATCTTTGAAATAAATGTATATTATTCTTTCATTTAAACTTTCTTGAAGCGTTTTTCAAAAAGAGTGATTAAGCCTTACAAGGCACAGATATAGAACATTCAACTTTGTTTTGGATAATCTAGGTTATACATTAATTCTAGTAAATAACATTTAATAAAAAGGTTTTTGTTCTAGATTATATTATTTAATTCTAAAGTGAATTATGAATAATGATAGAATTATATTTCGGTGCTAACTCGTTTACAAATATGCCCTTATCTATATAAGTATGGGTTTGGGTGGATCACTGTTTGATTTTATTCCTAATCTCTCCAACAGAAATAAATTTAAGGGACAATTATGTTAAAGTCCCACATAAAGAAATTAATTATTGCAAGGTCTATTGACAACTGAACTAAACTGCGTTGACAACTGGTTGTGTTATCAATGCAGTTTAGTTCAGTTGTCAATGGACCTTGGAGTAATTAATTTCCTTACGTGGGACCTAACTATAATTCTCCCACTAAATTTAAAATGAGATTTTACTTTTCATCATTCATTCATTTTCTATATCCATAGAATGTGCTTGTCATGCAGAGAGTTGCCAATTCATTAGAACACGCATAGTGCAAGGGCCATAATTTTGCTATTCCAAGATATGTTCATACACATACATGAATATTGAAATATCTTTATAATACGCATTATCTGTGATAGAAAGGCTCAAAACTGTGACAGGGGATGGTAGTAGTTTTTATGATACATTCAATTCACACACACACACACACACACATGTTTATTCTATTTATCAATGTTAGATTAATTTTTTCATTCCTAGAAAATGGCCATCAATAAGTATAATTTCAGATATGGCTTCCTTGTTTCATTCTATGAATATATATTTTTTATTATTCTTTTCAAGATCAATTTAGTATTAAAGATCAATCAAACTCTTGTAGTTAACTATTAGCTTATTTTAATGTAATTTTTATGGTCTTCACTTTTAAATTGAAACCCATGAAATTTCATTGTCTCTCTTTAGCATTTATACTCTAAGAATTGTGGATTTTATCGAAAAACAATTTGAATGGGAATCTTCTAATATTAGCTGCCAACGAGTTGTTGCTAGAAAAATTAAGCCTGCCAAAAAAAAAATGTTCATTCTAATTTGATTCCAGAATATGTAAGTGAAAGTATTTTAATGCATTGTATAAAAACTAAAATTTTATTGTACTATTTTTGCCAATGATGAATTCGTCGTTAAACTTAGATCCTTGTATATATTAAATAACTTAAATGCAAAAAATAAATAATTTGGTTGTTGATATTAGATAGCTGAAATTAATTCCATAATCTCTCTTCAGCATTTCTTTATCTTTAAAATAAATTTTAATGCCCAATTGGTGATTGATATTGAAAGAGTCCTGTTTAAATTGCTTTCCAACAAAAAAAAATATTTTTCTATCAATGTTAAACCTCTAATTAACAAAATTCCATGTATTATTTATATCACTAAGTGCAAAATTTGGGAATTGCTAGTCTTATGTGTACTAACACCAGGCAAACATTTTTTTGTAGGCAAAATTCCTTCATTTATTTGGAACATGTCTTCTATCATAGAGGTTGTCTTTGACTTCAATCATTTAAACGGACATTTGCCAGAGAAAATGTGCCATCAACTCCCTTTACTAGAAACCTTCTTTGTTTCATATAATCAGTTAGAGGGAAGCATTCCAAGATCAATAAGTAACTGCACATCTTTGAAAGCATTGTCTCTGGATGGTAACTCATTTACAGGTACGCACTTATTTATGTATTGTTTTCTTTTTTAAAAATATTGTTCTCGAAAAAAGATTTTGTTTTTCATCATTTCATTCATATTGTTCATTCATGATATTTGAAACATGAAAAAAAGTGAAATTTTTAAACCTCTTGGCACTTGGTGTGATACATCATTTATACTTTATTCAATAAAAAAATTCACAATTGACCAACATTTTGTGTACTTTTTTTTGTATTTTATTTCTCTAGCTCCTATTAACTTCATCTTTATATTTATAAAAAAATAAAAACTTTTTTGGTAATGTGTTTTTGGTTACACGTTCTCAAAAAACAAAAGAAAATTAGAGGCTGCCGTGAAAAACGAAAACAAAAAAAAAACAGAACATCTTTTTAATATTTTGTCATCTTTTGTTCTGAAAAATTAGAAAAGAGATAGAGAACATCATGTTTTAATTAATGACATTATTTAAATAAAGCAAACCATTATTTCACTATTCACTTCACCATTTTAGATATATATTTCAGAATAATAATTAAAAAATTGTTTGTAAAATTGTTCGAAAAACTTACTCTATAGCAATATTCCAAGAACAAATAAATAGAGAAAAGAAAACAATATTATTTTACCTGTTTAACTTTTTCTTCAATTCTTTTACAATTTTTATTTTTTATTTAAAAATATTAATTTCTAATAAAACAATAAATTCAATTGTTACTACGCACCTTGTCGCAACTCAAAGGAATTTTATGATTTTATTAAAAGTCTATATTTTAAATCCATTATGAAGACTAAAAACAATTAGTAGTTGTGTTAAAAAAATTAAAAATCATTAGTTTTCTCCTGAAATGTAATTTTCTACTCCCTTTCCTCCAAACTTAACAACGTGTATGGCTATAATTAAATAAATAATACAAAAAATAGTGTTAAAATTAATAAAAAATTTTGAAAAAAAGGAAATGTAAATATATTGACTACTTTATATTAGGTTAGGCAATTGCACTGAGTCCCAAGGTCCTTTATCACAATTTCCTTGAAATGCCAAAGCAGAATGAGAAACTAAAGATATGCCTGGCGCTACACAAGGTTTGATTGCATTACTTGTGAGTAAATACAGCTGGTGCTTCATTAGACAGAGAGAAAAGTAAAGAAGAATATCTTAGGGAGCCTAGGCTGTAACAACTAAGTGAGTCATGCTGGCCAAACTTGGACAATGCTAGGTCAACTGTTTGAGTATTATTATGCTAGGCAAGTGTGTTGAGTTTGGCAGAGTGTCAAGAGAGCCTCTCAGTTATGCACTCATTGCTTATTTATAGAACACAACAATGCGCTCCTTCAAATTTGAATTATGGCATCAAAAGGAATAAGTAATTCTCTATGAAGTCTAAAACATTGAGGGTGCATTATGTTATGGGGACTGGCTAGAGTTAGCATGCTACATTTCTTGGAAAGTGGGAATAATGGGTGAGGTTGGGTCACTGATCTCCTTAAACACAGTGCTCCACTTATACTCGGCAAGGCTACTTATATCTTAGGCCTCTATTTTGGCTAATTCTGAATTAGGCTTTGCTACTTCATTACTTTAAGCCCAGAGCACTAAAACCTGGTCTAAACAATTTCTCCCGTGTGTGATGCTTTGGTCCCAAGGAAGAGAAACTTCTACACATGCCCCTAAGTATTTTGTACATTATAGGCCACATGTCACGTCTAGGTTTAGGTAATGGTTACTCAACGCACGTTCCTAAAGCACTATCATTACCTCCCCTAATGATTCATTTGCCTAAGGTTCTAGAGCCCTATTTAAACATCAGTTCACGTTCACTTTGTCCAGTCCATCAAACCTCTTGATTTTGGCAATTTTTTCTTCAACTTTTAACTCTTCATCTGCCTTTGTTCCTTATCTTTTACTATCAACGACATAAGTCAAGTTGGTTTCCTACTAGTTTTTTGGCTTAGGGCTTAAGTATAAGTATCCTTTAAGATTTAGGTTGTTCTCTAATTTTTGTTTTCCTCTAACAATTCTTAGGGTTTGAACGTTATATCTTCATTTCGTGCCTATATGCAATTTGAGTGAGTATGAGTCCATAGCCTTTATATTTCTGACTTGCAAGTTAAGTTAACTGAGTCTTGTCTATCTTGAGTTATTAACTAGAACTAATCTTGTTTTTTATTTATTCATGAATGAACCTCATTCTTTTAGTCATACTCATCCAAGCAACTCATTGTACCTTTGCCCGCACTTTAAGATAAAATTATTGGTGTGCCCCTTTCCCTCGGACAAACCTAGGGAATGTCTATTTACTAGGATTACAGAGGAACCCCCTACCCTTAGGAAGAAGCGCTGGCCTGAGAACATAATGATAGTCACTAGATCCCCTAGGTAAACCACCTCTAACCCTATTACGGTAGCCTTTAGTCAAAGTTAGGGATCCTTGATTTAATCAAGCTAATCCTTGCATTGATTATCAAGAACACTTTACTCTTAAAGACTTCACTCCAATTCTAGGTAAAGAAGGACTCTTGCTTCTTATTCCCCTCAATACTATGACCATTATGATTCAAGATATGTTCCTCTTGACTAGATTGCCAATCACTATCCTTTTTTTGTTATCAGACACTAAGTGTGATGATAAGGCACTCCTAAAAGCCCTCTACTTGGAAAATTCAAAAATGGTTAATAAAATTTGGCTCGCTCGACCCTAGCTAGAAGTGCCCTATACACAAGGAAAAGCATGTCCACTTCTTGGGGGTCCTAGTACACAAGTAAATTTTCTACCCTCTTAGTAGGAGGACTATATCAGAGCTATTCCCTTTATCCTAATCCTTAGCTTTAGGGTATACTTTCTTTCTAAGGATGATGCTTTTGGGATCCCTATACCATTCCATACAGATCATTGTTGAGGTCGAGAAGCCCTTTAACAAGTTTCCTAGAGGTTTAGGATTCTTACAATTATGGAGCCTAGCATATTTCCCTAAGCTACTCCTAGCACCGCTTGACTATTTGTACAGTTGCATGGAGCAAGTCCTTATTGGGTACTTAAGGGACACCAACAAGGATCCTTTGATGACAATCCTTTTCCTTACAGACATAGTTCACCTACACTGTACTTTTATTTTCATCAAGAACTACTATTTGACCTCATGGTTTCAAGAAGCTCTAAAGAAGCATTACTTCCAATAGCTTCATGTTGCTCTATTTTTGTCTTACACTACCCCCAAAATGCTAGTATATTAAGGCATTGGCACTCCTAAGCCAATGTGACATGTGGAGAACTACTTGCCTTAGTTTGGACTTGGCAATTAGGGCAAGGGTTTTGCATCCTTAAGTACCCATACATTACTGGGCGTAGACCTTCCTAGAGACTTCTAGCATTGAGCTGCTCAGAAGAACTTATGATCATGTTTTCTATATGGAGGTGAGTCCTTCAAATGGGTTTGTTACTAGGTGTGCCACGTTCAATACTCTACCATTATGCATGGTTCTTTCAATAAGTATTACCTTTACCACTTGTAATGTCCACCTTGACATTACCACACTTCACCACAATCAACACACAATTGGTAATTAGGAATCCTTAAGCCCTCCTAAGTTTACCCTTACCATAGAAGGGTTAAATCAATTAAAACTTTCATGCACACTTGAAAACATGTGGGATCCCAAAAACCCTTCAAATAGGTAGTTTAAACTAAAACTAATTAGTATTTTAAAAAAAAGTACAAAAAGCATGGAAAGACATGGGAAGCAAAATGCTGTTATGACAGCTTTTCTGGATGAATTTACAGTGTGCGCTATTTTAGCATTCAACATTCAATTGGAGTGATTCAAGTGCTTATGTGAAGCTTAATTGAAATTTGGACACCTGAATACCAAATGATATATTCTAAAGCAATTTCATATATCCAATTGCCAAATATCTAAACTTATGCCATTAACCAATTTTAGGGCTTGAACCAAGTTTAATGGATCTAAACACACCTAATTGAGCAATTAATCATGTATTAACACATCAAACTCAAGATTTGGCTATCAAAAACCTTGATTTCACACAAAATAGGGCCATTCACACTGTATTTATATATAATCACTACTTGACCAAACCATTACACATATCACATATATTTCTACTAACATACACTCATAACCATATTTTAGCCTAGATACAATGTTTAGCCAAACATTCACATAAGGCTAAAATGCCATAAAATTGCATCATGCAAGAATAGTTTTGATTGTTGCATCAAATTATTCTATGCTTGCTCTTGTAGTAGTATTTTAGCCCTATTACCATATATACAACCAAATCATATAATCTCAAGTTGAAATACAACACAACATAATATCATAAAAGTGCAACTCAAAAATCATATGCATCCCTAATTGGCAACAAAAATGCTATTTATTTACATTTATGCACACCAACTTAAAATTTATATAGGGCATTATAGCTAGTGGAATAGGTAATCCTTACCCTTCTCTTTCCCATGTCCCCTATCTATCCTTGAACCTTTAAAACAGTAACCACGGGGTAAGATAAAGTCCTAGAAATCAGAATTATCTACACTACTCATTAACAAGTGAAATCATAGATAAGTAATTGAGCAAAATATTTAAAACACGTTCACACCACAAAGCTATCTCACATAAATATCATGCATGATCATATATCCATTTGAACCTTCATTACTCCCAAGTGAACCTATAAGCTATAACATTAGGCCAAACCATATAGTTTAATCTGACCTCACCTTTCATAGAAGAACTTCTTGGCTTATAATCCATTACTAAATTACAAGTTCCCTATATTACATATAATCAGGGTGTCATTACTTGAACACTACACCTTTTAGATGTTAAAGAGTGTGTTTCTCCTACACCATACACTTCCAAGTACTAAGGAGAAAGTGTTAGCTGCACTGGGCATCCCAAGGTATTAACGATGTCATAATGATTTTATTACTATATTCGTAAAGGTAAACTCTTCCCCTCACTAGACATGCTCTAAACATTCGCCTTATA